GAAGGATCAAAGGGATGAAATCAGCATTCGAGGTTGTAGAGACGCTGTCGACACGTGAAGTGGTGCAGATGGGTAGATTGGATAACAGTTAGATCAAAGTTAGATGAAAGTTAAATGAACATCATAAAACTGTGCGAGCTGCGACTCCTACGAGTTTATGGTATCGCTTCGCTTCAGCGGGCCCGTGGACGCTAGCAACGCCCTTGCTGCGCAGCCGTTGTGGTCCCCAAGGGGTCGAAGCAACGCCCCTTCTTCGTTTGGCCAAGCCAGGGCGGCCATAGGAACAACTTACATCGCACCACAACTCGACCTGATGGACATGTATACGCTGTATACGCCTACGCTCCGAGGCAACCGACATGTGTTCATAGATGGATATTGATATAGTAACGAAAGAGTCACATGGTTCCCTTGAATGGTTCCCTACAACTCCCAATGCAGTGCATTCTTGCTGGACAAAAAACGACTCCTGTGTCGTTCCGACCAGATGGACCACATCATGGACACCACGCCCGGATTTGACTGGGCACCCCATTCATTCGGTGCCAGTGAAGCCACTGGGTGACCAATAACGGCTTCTAAGCGCCAATGGCAGTGCCACGCCAGGATCCCAGAGCTTCGGCCATAGGACTTGGCCAACATCACTTGGACCTTCGCGATCTTGGAGCTTCGCCCCGACGCGCGGAGCCGCGCCGATCTGGGCGAGGCAGCGGTGGGGCAGGTGGCGAGGTTTACGCCCCAAGGCCTGGTGCGTCGATACCGCTGGCACTGGAGAGGGAGAAGAGCCAAGGAATGCGAGGTTGGAGACGAGTCTGGGACGTTTGCAGCTGTAGTTCTGACTGGTGCGACTCGTAGGGAATGAGAGTGGCTGGATCCAAAGGAATCTCTATTGGGGGCGAAACTTTCCTCATTCTCTACTAAGCACCAGTCAGTATTTCTGGGACATTAGTGCGAATTTCCTACCAACTGGAACAACCTGTTTTTGCACCCGTTTTGTTCAGCAATGACCAATAATGACGGACTGAAGAACTACCATGCATGGACCAATATGGACCATGGCATTACCACGGTGTTGATATAGTTTGTTTATTTTGGCTTTACTTGAAAGAAGGCTGTCAGACCCTGTGACGGCAATCTCAAACCAAGGAGTGTGTTGCGAGATCGATCCCTTTTGACCTATGCTTTGATTTCATGAGGCCTGCCACGACCCAGCGCCTTTCGCGCGAAAGCGCTCATGCTTTCGCTTGTCGCACCACCCCCACAGCGCGGCCATCCTCCACAGCACCGCCATGTTTGTCCGTGCTAGGGATGTCCAACATCATTTGGGGCTGGGCCACGTTGGCGCTCTTCCATCGGCCGCTCTTCGATGCCACCGCAGACCTTCTAAAGCAGCGAAGCAGCGAGGGAGACCTCGGCGAGGTGCTGAGTGAGTGGAAGGCGCAGCCCATGAGTTGGCAAGAAGAGCAGGTCATAAGTTATAAGAATTAAAACGATAGTACATGATATTACGCAACAAACACATGATACAATGTTAATCTTGTTCTGTTGGGTGTTTTTTTGACAAACCATGTCCTTGGATGTTGCTTGCTAATACTCTTCATGTACCACACAAGTGGTGTGGTCTTCGTGTCGGGCCCTTTTGGGGCCCGAGACGACTCTCACCGCACAAGAGTGGTGAAGAAAGCACAAAGTTGGTACTTACTCATGAAGATTTGCACCATCAATTGCAGACGGGTTCACTTGTGTAATGATATATTGTGACATATCAATTGAACCTATGTGATACTGACAAAGTACTGTTGGAGGTGCTAGATGGGCTGACACTCAACTGGGTCCAAGATGCACCTTCGAACTCTTTACACTGTTCATCAAGCTCACTTCCTATATCCCCTTTGTTTCACCATGTGTCACATTCTTTTTGGCCCGCCCGCCCCCCCCAAAAAAGAGCCAGGCGCAAGAGCTGTCCAACACTGCCTGGAGCTTCACCACCGTTTTGCACGTCCACCCTGCCTCGGCTGCCATGGCCCACGCGGCCCTGCGGCGCTTGGACGAGTTCCATGCGCGACACAGTGCAAACCTGGTGCCGGGGTGGAACGAAGGGGTGAGTGGGACATGTGGGGTGCCAAAAAGCAGGAAGATGTGGGTCAGGGTCACGTAGGGTCAGGTCACATAGGGTTGTAGTTGTGATCATCATGTGTGTTTGCAGATTTCCCTGTCGCAGAACTGGAAATCGCAAATCATAGTCATATATAATCCATGGTAGTCCATGTGCCAAATAGGTATAGTAATCACGGAGACCATATGAGCAACAGTCCAATTACCGTAGATGTGTTTGGTTTTGGATGTCTTGTTGGCTTCTTGTATGGTTCCTATTTTTGCACCAAACCATGGCATCCATGGGAAGCGATAGGTGACTCACAAAAACGATACCTGCTATGATAGATGTTTTGGATTCAGAGACTGCAGTGAATGTGAGCGGACTCTCGGTTCTGCAGCCCAATTGTTTCATAAAGACAACAGCTGTGCAAGTGAAAGATGGTACGGTCACGGCTCGCTTAGTGCGCTTTTGCTTGAGGATGAACTTGGGCAAATGCTTGTTCAATAGCAAAAATCAAAGGGTTTCGACATCATCAAGGCCACCAAAAACACTCAGTGGACCCCTGTGACCGGGGGGGCTCAGGTGGTGGCGGGCTGACTGCTTCAAAACTAGTTGTGAGGAGCTTGAAGTGGCAGGCGTTCCGCTTGGACCCATCCCCTTGGAGCAGAAGACAAAGTTAGATTGAAGACCACGTGTTTTTGGGCTTGGCTTCTTCTTTTTGATGACGCCCAAGCTGCAGAGACAATTGGACTGGAAGATCGTTTGAAAATTGTGGGGGTATATAACTGGCTCGGTCACAACTCTTCGATGTTTTGGGTTCCCTGAACACGGGTGCCCAGGTGCTATGTATATAAAGTTTTTCCTTCTGATTGGTAGACACTGCGACACTTGCTGAGCAATCCCAGTTGATGCTGTCATCCCACTGCACACTTAAGGTGGGCAAGTCAGCTGCAGCAAGTGACGTTCCAACATCCCAGCCTGATGTGGACAAGACAGACACCGCCGGGAATGTAGCAGGTGCCAAAGGCTTCTGACTGCCTTGAGTGATGCCCCGGGCTTCGCCAGCATGAGCTTCAGTCCCTTAGTGAAAGATGTGCGAGATCACTTTGAAGATAGGACAATCTGGCAGCTTTTCACCTGGAAAGAGGAAGCGCAAAGCAGGCTAACGGGAAAGGTGGGGAAGGAGTGGGCAACCGGCCGGCTGGATTCAGGATGCTCCAAGTGGCCGCAAGAGCAAAACATAGAATTAGAGACAGATTGCCTATGTGCAGGAGATTGCAGGAGGCCCTGGAGAAGCAGCCGCCTTTGCTTTGACCGATAGCAGGAGCCATGTAGTATTGCTTACGAGGTTTTGAACGATAAAGCCAAGCCATATAATGCAAAATACGCCCATGTGTATGTGTGGGAGATAGAACGGGGTCATCCTTTAGTACCTTGAAAAGGAAGCATGTGCAGGCTCTCAAGGCAGACCGCACGCACATCTATCACAATGAGCCAGAGCCAGGGTCAAGCAAGCCATGAGCTTGTCCACTACGTCCCGAATTATGAAGAAGCACCAATACAAGCGACTGGTGCATTTATTGTTGCGACCTGCAGTAAACGGTGATGCCACAGTTTCAGATGTCGTGGCTCACCTTCTTTTCCCCCCTTTACTGCGGTTGATGATTACGTTTCTAGCTTTTCGTTGCAGGACCAGCCTGGGCTACATCTGCGAGAATTGCGGCATTAACTTTGGCACCATGCAGAAAGGCGGCCTTGCAAGAAGTGTCGCCGCTCCGATTTCCCCGTGGTCAAGCACCACTGCGGGCTTCAAGAGTTTACGCTTTACAAAGCTTTAGGATGCATATTTGTTTCACTGCGCTGCAAACGATCACCAGAAACCAGTCCTCACCAAGGTTGGGGAGTCGGCTGAAGATGAGAACCTGTGGTTCAATTGCCCAAGAGGCTGATGTTGTGGAGGTGCAGGAGCTGAAAGCGACCAATGATACGTTACAGCAGGAGCAAAGGATCGATCCCACGACACCAGCTGGTATTTCTCTTGGATGAAACATCTACAAAAGCTCCTGCAGCGCAAAAGTTCAAGATGCAAGCAGGTCGGTTTCAAATTAGGAATCCTCTTGTGTGAGTTCCACTCCCTTGACATCGCGCAAACAGTTGGGGGTCAGTATGCAACCATGTGTTTTTTTCATGGTGATAGCTGGCAACCTGACCTTGGAAGAGGCGCTGGCAGAATACAGAAGAGGGTATTGGAGCGCGGGAAGGAAGCAGTGGGATACAAAAGTGAAGCCCTTGGGGAGGGAAGAGGACGATGCCTTGACACGGAGGCAGAAGAATTGCTCCCTCAGGGTGTTGACCTCGAGTATCACACAGGGCATGTAGAGACATCGCATTTGGCGGAGGAAGCTGCTGCTGACGATGTCTCGGGCTCTGAAGAGGGCACAGGCTCCAGTAGCAGCAGTGGTGTCAGCAGTGGCACTGCAGAATGAGAAGCAAAAGGGCTGCTACTGCATGTGGGCACAATTAGGATCAATTAGGCGTTGTATTTTGTGTACATATGAAGACACATGCACACCTGCAGTATCCCTGAAAAGCGATGGGTGACTCACTGATCCCTATTGACAAGACTTAGCTGAACATGTAATTTTGACCGTCCCTCATATGCTAGTCCATGATGGTCCGTTGATATATGGGTATGCCCATAATGTAGTCCTGGTCCACTCATCCCATGGAGCGGCGTGGTGTCCCACCCCTTAAGGAACTGGCGGGCTTTTCTGAATCAAACATTTTGTTGTGGTTATTTTTCAGAGTCTTAGTTTGGTTGCTAAATCCGAAACTTGAAAGAGGATGACACTTTCATATCTTTCATGCGACACCGAGCACCATCCAACCCCCAACCGACCAGGCTTGGAGGCTTGCCACTCTCGAATCCTCTCAGCGCCCGCTCCTCGAGACTCGGCGGTGCGTTCATCGCTTTCGATCGACGGTCCCGAAGGGGTCGGCGGTCGGACCGGTCGAAGGGCCGAATTTGTTAATGGTTCTGTGTGGTGCTTGCGTTTCTTTTTGTGGGGGGGGGGGCGGTCCGAGTTGTTGTTTTTCTTCTTTGGGGGGTGAGTACAAGTTGTTGTTTCTTTTGTTTGGGGGGGGTCCGAAAAGAATGCCAAAGATGTGTGAGTTTCCAATGAATTAAAGGGAAATGTTGGATTTGTGTCAAGCGTTTCCCATGAAATATAGTAGTCCCCTCGCTCCTGGTCCACTGTCCCAAACACTCCTAAACCCATTCAGCACACGCCGATGGTCAAAGAGCGCTAGCCTGGGGCGACATGGACGATGCCCCACCAGCAAGAAACAAGGAATCACTGTTGAGTATGGAGGTGCGTTCAAATGTCAGACCCAGTGTCAGACCCTGTCAACGGATTTCACCAGTAGACGCATGTGTATAAAAGTATATAGGGATGTTGTTTCTCCACTAAATTTTGCGCTGATTGACCATATTCACGGAAAAATGCGTGCCCTTATAAGATGTCCCTCTACTGACACTGGATGTGCGTTGACGACCTGTACCATGAGGATCCATGAGGATTGATGAAATAGTGTTGAGAACTGTGCAGCCTACAAGACATTACACTCCCGAAGCACCACGCCGGCAGCGTATGTTTTATTTAAGGGGAAGGGAAGGTCGTTTTTTCGGTTCTGTCCTTCACAGCGCTTGCTTCAAGAGAAAGACCTTGGTGCAACCACTTCCACTTCCACTCGAACCCAGACTTGTTCTAGGTGGCTTTTGCTGAGCGCGTGGCACACATGTCAGAGGTGGCCCCACTCTCATTGGCCAGTCGCCGGCCTGCGAGGATGGTGGTGGGAACCCTCCCAAGGTGAGGAATAGTTCCAGAAGATCAGTCTGCAGGTTCACTGGTCGATACTTATGCCGCATGCCCATACAGTGACTCTGGTGCACCCTAAACTCTGACCAACAACAGACATGGGCGTGGAAAATAGCCCTTGGTAAGACGCTTCCACGAACTGGAGTGCACACCAGATAAAAACATATGGGATGACGTTTTATGAGAATGCCAAAGCGGTGGTGAACACCACTTGCATGAGGATTCCTGGGACGTTGGTTCCTTAAGCCCCCTCCGTTGATGCCGGAACGGGCTCTTGGGAGAACCAGACGTAGCACTGCTGGTCGGGTCAATGACGGGTCTAAGACAAGTCGAGGTGCGGTTTTTCATGGCGATGTCCTGCCCGCTAGGCCTCTACTGTAGAGAAAATACACTGAGTAGAGAGAAAGAGTGAGAGAACCTGTAGAGAATCAAGTGTTTGTGTTCTAAGAGTTCTGTTGATGTGAGCATTTTGAAGACAGACTGGACTATTTAACAATTCTTGGCAGTCTTCGGGACCGCCTCTTCTGAACAGCGAGTGAAGCTGGAATCAGGGGGCCTGGAGATGAGTCCAACAAGCGATGTTCTTGGGTTTCTCAGGTTTTTTGGATCATTTGGATTTGGATATTCAAGTGTTCAGGGGCCAAATGGCAATGCAAGTTTGGCCCATGCAACACACAAGTCCACTGTTCGAAAGACCCACTCAAGTGGCGATCCAAGGTATCGCTTGGGCGTGCGTCTCAATGGAGGTCAGGCAGGCTGCCCTGTGCTTTGGATTGAAATTGGACCCTCAGGTTTGAGCTCCTGGCATGGTCTCTATAGAATTGATGGGTTTGGGGATTGCCACACGAGGTTTGTCGACCAAAAGTATCCAAACATCCAGCAGATTTGACCCTTGTAGCCCCTGACGTCGTGGCATTTGGATGTGAATCAAGGAGCACGGAGGCCACTGGGTTAAGTCCATGTTGTGGGCTTCATGTATGAGCATTATGTAAAGGACGCACTCAGCTTTGGTTGGCAGTCAGCGAGGTTGAGACGCATTCAACTCGTAGCTTTCCTGGCTTTTCTGCTGCTGATTTTGATCTATGGCATTGTCCTTTGTGCCCATATGGGTCCTCTCTCCTGACTTGGTGTATTGAGCTTTTCTCAGATCTCGTGCCAATGCCGATCTGCGAAAGATTTGCCTCCAGGTTGGATCGGATGGCGGGGACGCTGTTCAAAGCTCCAGTGGATGAAGGGGTTGCCAGCATGGCTGTATGGACCTTGCGACTTGGGCCCAATCTGTGCAAGGCTGGATCTTGATGAAGAGTCCGACCCCCGACTCTAAAAAAGCATTCTCTCCAAATGGATGGGGCCCCGTTGGGCGTCAGCATGTTTTTCTGATTGGGTAGTGACATGTATAATCATGTGTAGTGACATTTAGAGACCTACCTTTTGAAGAAACTGGAGGGGTAGGATCTAATGATTCGCTAATTCTTTGATTGTCTGGCAGGGCCGAACACAAGGTCCCAAAGCTGAACATACATCCAAGATGCCTAGTCCAAGAGCCGTTTCTTCCGCGAGGCGAAGCGGCCCCAAGCTCCGGGGATTCACTGCTGTGTTTTGTCCAGGGGCCTGTGCCAGCGCACCGATCACCAGTATCGGAACGGATTTGATACATGGTTACATAACCCTTAGTTTTGAGTTCCCTTACAACCAACCTCTCATGATATTTAGGGAGGAAAAGGTAACAATCAACCGTTCTTTCCCCTCCGTTGAACAGACCCTGCCTCGTGTCTCCGTCCACCGTCGCTCCGTCTCGCTCAGGTCACGGGCGGAGCCTGACTTGCGCCGCGCCTTCCGTTTGGTGCTCTCCGCGCGCTGGCGGATCCCCCCGGTGAGTCTCTCGGCGCTGCTGGAGGAGTGTGAGCAACGAGTGGCCCGGGCCGCAAGGTGGGAAAGGTGAGGATGGCACGGTCCTTTTGTTTTGCCCAACATGTGAGAGATATTCTAGATATGTATGGTCCAACAAAAACAGAGATCTGAGTTGAGGCCGGCTGCGATCCTGGTCTGCCCAAATTGTTAGAGTTTCGATGATGCTGTATGGCCTAAAAAAGACGGAGATCCGAGTCGAGGCCGACGGCAGGTGAGTCTCAAGTCGGACCCCCGGGGACCAGAGATACACAGATCACAGGATCATAGGATGTATATAGTATTGGATGTATTCTTCCGGAGACCCCGGAGGGTGTCGACACCCCTCAAAGTGTCCACCCATGGTGTCCACCATGTTCCGTTTTGAGCACGTGTGGTCCCCTGCAGGAGGGTAAGACTTAAGGAAAGATGTTGATTTCATGAAGTGCACTCTGCCAAACACATCATGTGGAACTGGAACATCATGGAACATCCCTTGGACTCGGAGTTCGGAGAGCTCTGCCAGGGGCCAGGAGCCCCCCCAGGGGCTGTCGGAGTTGCACCGGGTCGCCGTTTCCATGTGGCACGACGCGGTTCCTGAGGGCCTGCATCAAGAGGAACGCCGCGTGCTGCGGCTGATGGAGCATGGGGATCTCGCTCCCGTGGTCATGGACACTTGGCTGGCTCTGACATGGTGACATGCACGGTTGGCTGGCGGTTTGTGGGCGTTTTGGAAGGGTATATCCCAGACACTCTACAGAGCTTTCAGATGATTTCGGTCCAGTCATTGTTTTAATTGTAAGCATAGCTTTCGGTTGATTTCGTGTATCGGCCTCATTTCAGAAAATCCCTAGTTGAACTACAGTATAGTTGTTGCTTTTTTATGATGGTCAACCCGCCCAGGGAGCACAGGCACAGACCTTCATATGCCCCCTCTCAAAGAATGTGTATGAATGTGTATATTTGGTTCGGGCCCAACTGGGAGTCCTCGTCTGACAAGAGGATTGCCGGGATTGCTTAGGAAGTGCGTTCACGGCTGCATTCAACACAGCTGCCGAGACCCGGTACAGCGGGGATAGGCAGTGGCGGTGAGGACAAGGAGCGGTGAGTGGCGATGAGGGAGGGCAAGGAGATGCGAGAAGAGTGCAACTTCTAATCAAGTTTCATATGCTTTTGTCATCCAGGTGGAATCCATGCACTTGAACCCTTGGAAGTGCTCAATGCCACAATGCTATTAATTAGTTAGTTACTTAGTGTGTGTGTGCCTTCATCAGTGTGGAATCTAACGCAGTTTGGGTTTACTCACCTTGTTTTGTTATTTAGGTCGCTGATTCGTGGGCCATTCTCATTTCAACCGGCTCTTCTTCTGAAGTTCCAGCTTCATTTATCGCGTCTTCGAGCTTGCAGAACAAAGTTTCACCCACATTTCACGGAAAAAAGGAGCCAAGTTTGCTTGGCTTTGGTTGTTCGTTGTTTTGTCATCAGACCAAGTCAAGGTCCATATTCGTGTGCACGAGCCCAGAACGCTATCCGCTAGCTGGATCCAACGCCCACCCCATGTGGCCACCCCAGTCAATGCCCCAGGTCGGCCAAGCTGTCGAACGCGGCCTGGCGGCACAGTATCACACTTGTGTGCATAGTCATGCGAAATGCAGGAAGTGGGACCAGTGGGATATGTGATTCTCAAACATATACGATCATATACAGTATCACATGATTATACTCTGGGATGTATATATATATATATTAATTATAGACAGGGATTATATGTATATATGTGCTATGTATCTAGTGTGGATATATACAGTAAATATATATAATGAAACATGGACATGGACATGAACAGAGTTTGGCCATTGAATGAGGAGCCTGAGTTGCCCCAGCATCATAGCTGCCACAGACCTGGGTCAAATCAGGCTTCCGCATGCCATTTCTTTGTGCAATTGGCACGTCACGTTGCCCCAATGGTGTATGTGAGTGTGTGTGTGTGTGTTTGCACTGCAGAAGTGCAGTCAGCGAATTCTCATGGATGCAACGGAACATGCATGTCATCCGAGCTGTCCCCGGATGTCCCGAGCCCGTGGGAACTCGGAGTTATGCCCGGCCCATGAAGAATCTGGATGAATCAACTCTCCAACCCAGTAGCTTCTGGTTACTATTACTAGTATTGGCCTCCAAGCTAATAGCGATGGCCTCTAACCTAGTAGCTTCTTGCTACCGGCATGTTCCATGCCGGAACCGCATGGCTCTTCACCGACAACGCGGATCGTTGTGTGGCTATAAGCTTTGACCAAGTACCAGACTCAAGAGCTGTCCTTGTCGAAGGTGTCGTGCCCTGGGAGGGTGCATGTCTTGATGGATGCACTGATTCTTCAAAAAACCTTTCCATGACTTCTATTTGTGTTGTCTATATATATATAATATTATATATATATATTATGTCGTTTCTATGTCGAACGGAAGGTGTCGGTCAGAGACTCCCGCTCAGGAGAGCCTGGGCGTTACCCGGCAAGTCATTGGAAAGAAATGTGGCACACGGAATGGGTTTTTGTCAGTGAAGCTGAGGGGGCGGGAGTTGATCTTCCAGTGATGCAGCCGTACCAAGATTGCTTTCTTGTTCCCCGCTCAGACCTTCAGTTTTTCAACATGATCCACATGGATGGTTTTGTCGGTGGTAAGGTTGATGGCAAGCATGCGTAAGACAGTCATGCAAGTCATTATACTGTATATGAGAGTTCGATTTTTTTGGGAAAGAACTATAAGATCAAACGGTTTCTATTGGGCGCTCTGCGGAGAGCTGGCTACTTTTGCCTTTGGTTGATGCAGGAAACCACACAATGCAGATCCATCGAAGGATTGGCTTGAGGGATCATGAAGAGATGAGAGATCAGAGCCGCTCAGACACGCCAGAACCATGGAATCACATATGACATCGCATGAACAAGACATGTAAGAACATGGTAGGCATTGAAGATGGCCAGAACCTGCAGGAACGGTCAGTTCCCGGTGGACATCCACAAGACATTACAAGACCAATGGTCAATAGTGATATAAGCTTAAGGAGGCATAGACATGTATAGACACATGGTTTGTATAGACACATCATCATCATCATCATCATCATCATCATCATCATCATCATCGTCATCGTCATCGTCATCGTCATCGTCATCGTCATCGTCATCATCATCATCATCATCATCATCACTGGACTTCTGGAGCTGGAAGCAACACCTCTCCGGACACACGAAATGCTCCGAACATGAGTTCTTCAATGCCCACCAAAGCTCCGGTCTTTCGTGAGGCTTGTGCCATTCGAATCTAGAAGTGGTCCGAGCCGTTGGGAGATTCCTATGCAGATGCTTAAGATGAAGCACCCCGAAGTGGATGCGCCGAAGTGAATGTTAAAGGGGATCAGTGGAGCCTTTCACAGACCTTGAAGCTGCAGCGATGTTGGCAATGCAAATCAGTAGCTGCGGTGTTGACACTAATCGTACCATGTGAGAAGCACCACAAGATTGATGCCGAACACTCCATAAAACAAGCTTGCCCCAAGCTTGACTCTGAATCGCTGCGCCCATGTCGCCCTCGTGAGCGCGTTTTTGATCCGTGCTTGGGCATCCAAGTGGAGAAGCTTGAGCGCTGATACAATGATGACAAGTGATTCCATCTTCCGGTGTTTTCCAGTGATGCCATATTGCGGGGTGTTCATGTTTTCCGTGTCTTCAGCATGATCATAGGCAAAGAAGTCAACCCGCCTGCACACGTGGTAACAAGTGCGTAGTTCAGAACCCTACATGTTACCTGAGGGCAACTTTGGTGATTAACCATATAACCACAGGTGTTTATTTATGTAAGTTATAGGATGTGTGATTTGTGTGTTTTATGATCTCCCGCAAAAAACACTTGTGCTTAGCTTGCCAGATATTGGTGACTTCATGTGACTTCACCTTTTTGATCAACGTGACACAACATGGACAGGTTCAGTACGATCATGCAACATGGCCAGGTTCAGCACATTGCATTACTAGTTTCGGATTCTTTTAGGTCAGATCGATTTGATTGTTTTACACATGGACTGCCCGTGGTAGGGTGGATTCTCTCGGCCAGAAGTCGGTCAAGGTGACAGGCGACAGTTGGGTGTGCAGGGACTTGCCCCCAAAGAATCGCAGGAAGAGCCAACAAAAAAGGGAGACGTCAGCGGAACCACCCAGTGAATATAGATTTCTCGGGCATGATTGAACAAAAACATTTACTATACCCTAGGCTTCCAAGACCATTCAAAGAAAGGGAATGACCTGGTTGCGTAGTGTAAAATCCTTGGTAAAACAGCTGGTGGTTCGGGATTCAGGCCATTAAAACAAGGGTTGGCCAGGAAGCCTAGGATCCCCTGAGATCCCCCCCCCCCGAGATTTTTCAGTAGCTCCCCCCCTTTACAAAAGGGAGGTAACCCCGACCCATGACCGACTGTCCGCGGACCGTGCTCCTGTGCTGAGGGACCGCACCATGGCGGCCTCCGTGGGCCCTGAGGTGATTTGGGAGGCCTGGAGCGGGGCAGGTGGTTATATGCATGGTTATATGCACTGGAATGCAATGCACTGCATGGTTATAACATGTTGTTTTGGTTCAGGTTGAGGTTTTTGTTCAATGCATTTCAGGTGGTTTTTTTCAGTGTTCTGAAATGGGTGTGCATGAAAATATAGAGAGACCTCTAAAATCCCAAGGGATTTGAGGTCAATTTTAATACAGACCCAGATGTTCTATAGTCATTGGACCTTTGCCAGGATGAAGAGTGAAGCATGTGAGCCGGAGATTGCAGGCGTTTTCTCATTTTTCGGATCGTGACCGTCGGATCGGAACGTCTCCGACATGAAGAGACGTTTGGGACATTTTCACCCTTTTCACCCCCTTTTTCCATCTATAACCCTATAATACTCTGCGTAACTATTTGATTCATGATTGCATGGCTATATAAATATATATATATATACCATATCTAACATCTATACAGTTGTACACCATGAATGTCATAGCCATCTCTATAGTCAGATCACTCTTTCATGACCCGGACGTCGGCGACGGGCCCCACCCGCCCGCACCGGCAGGTGCTCCATCCGAGCTGCCCGGTGCGGGCGGAGCCCCACTGCGAGGGAAGAGCCGCACGGCGCACGGGACGAGACGGTCGCGGTCGCGACTGTTGCCCTTCGTTTTGGTTGGGGGGGGAGACCCTTGGGGCAGAGAGTCCTACCCTAAAGATCCAACAGATCCAAACAGATGTGATATATAAGTTCAAGTTCCTTTTCAAAGGAAAACTGAGGGACTCAGGAGGTGGTGATGGCACGAACGGGCAGTGTTCGTGGATCTGGATGTCCGGTCTGGGCCCTTTGAAAGAGACGTACTTGCTCTACTGGTGCCTTTGCTAGTCCCGGTTCGAATCAAACAGGTTTGGTTCTTCCAGGAATTGATGGCAATCCACTCCAGCTCTACAATCATGAACTACAGTCACAAGTGCTCTCATAGAGTTTTTCTTATGGGACTGAAAGCTATCAACAGGGCACGCATGAGTACACACACAACATCCATCATTTTGACACGGCAACTTCAGAAGATCAACCGTACCAAGTACCGAACCAATATATCAATCTCCGGATGTTTTCGTTTACCGGGTGCCTCAGAACTGAGGTGTTGAGCTGGAAGAGACGAGGCACCGTGGTAAAACTCGGGCGGGGTAACGAGCTCGTTTTATTTTGTTGCGCGGAACAAAAAAAGCCGCGCCTGGTCTCCCCAAGTCTTTAACACCTCGGGTGCTTCGTTCTCGGAGTTTCGCTTCAGAAGCTCCATTCGATCCATCTCCAAGATGCGAAGACGAGCCGCGCAGCCAAGCGTCTGGGGCACACTCCTCCAGCAAATGGAGTCACGGGTAGTCTGGGCGTACACATGCAAATCCAGGACCGATTCCATTCGTCCGGTTGTTTTTGGATACCCCGAATCACCTCTAAGGCTTTTTATCTATAGACAATAGACACCTCAGAAGGAAGGAGCATACATCACAACTCTGCAATACTGGTGCGGGAGGTCTTCAATCACTAGCTAAATCCTCCACAGTGCCTCCACAAGTGGTAAACCTTAACAGTTCAGGTGGCCACGCTCCCGAACCCGCAATTTGACATAGAAGACGCCCCCACCCCAATACTTCCAGATCAGAGGACTCGCCAACACACATTACCGTGGTGGCACCGGTGGCACCCCCGAAAAATCGTTTGTGCGCTTCAGTAGCTCCCTGTGCT